GGGCCCCCGGCCCCTGGGCTCCCCTGCCAGGCTGGGGGTGGTGGAGATGGTGTCCTCACTCCCCCTGCAGGCCAGGCAGGGCCCCCGCTGCGGTTGTCCCCCAGGTCTGCGGTGGGGGCCCCCCCTCAGGACTCTGGTTGGACCCCTGCAGTGGATGTCACTGCCGTGCTGGAGACCGAGTCTGCCAACGGGAAGGACGCCCTGGTAGGTGCCGCGGGCTGGTGGGACGCTCCGGCGTGGCCCCGTGCACGGGGCGAGTTCTGGGGCCCGGAGGCGCTGTGGGAGCGTGCTGAGCTGAACCCACAGCCGCTGAGCTAGCCGCCAGCCTTGTGGCCAGGCCCCAGCGACTTGCTTGCTGCTGCTCCCTGGTCTGTAGGTGGAGCATGTGCTTGTCTGCTAGAGCTAGAAATCCTGCACTTGAAAGCTGTCATTCCCTCTTTGTGGGTCATTGCCATCTGCAGATAAGGCTTATCCTTGAGATATTTGTTTACCAAGACTGCTAGCCCTCTCCTGTCTCCTTTTCTTTCCACTAGCACGCTCCTCCAAAGTGTATGGAGGATTCTTATTTGATAGTACCCTAGCATTTTTGCATGGATGTCGGGGGTGATGTGATGGCTCAAGATGTTCATGGATTGTACGTGGCATAGAAAAAGGGAAAATGTAGCATTTTTTCCAGAAAGTAAAATGTTTTTATTTAACAATCAGCTGTTTGTCAAAGTGTAATGTGTTCGGGGTCTTGGAAAACTGAGGATGCTTGTTGGTTCTAAGTCAAAGGTAAAATGAAGATATAGAAAAATAATATTTATTCACACTTCAGCTTTGTACTGGTATTGAAAATGAGTTTTTTCAGAAAATGGGATCTGAAAAACATGTTCCCATGATGCAAACCAGAAGGAGTTTCCATCTTGCTGACCTTAGTTTTAGCTGTGTGAAGAACCATTTGCTACAGTTAATGTCCCTGTTAGTTTGACTGTTTCTAACTAACTGAATCTCCAAGTAATTCAACCTTACTCACAACATGGCCATATGTTCATTCCCCCTAAATTTTGCTGACCTGATGGGGTTACTGCACAAAACTTCCTTCCTGTCCGATCCAGTCAATCTTTAAGTCAGTCCGAGTAAACTGATCTTCTCTGGTTGTAGGAAGGTGCTGGGGACAATTCTGAAGTCTTGGATGCTCAGGCAGGCTCAGTGGATGAAGAGAACGGACGACAGCTTGGAGAGATAGAGCTGCAGTGTGGAATTTGTACAAAGTGGTTCACGGCAGACACGTTTGGCATTGACACCACGTATGTAAGCTCTGCCTAATGCTATCCATGAAACTTTAATGTCTTTGGATGTTTGTGGCCCCTATTCCTTTAAAAACAAACCATCTCTAATGTACTTGTTTAAATTTGACTGTCAGATGGCAGTTCCAGCTTGTACTATCCTTGTGTACCTCTTCTAAGAAACTGTAGTTAGATGTTGCTCAAGGTTAATTAAGAAAAACTGGTGCAGTTGCTTAAACTTGAGGAAAATGAAAGTTGCAGCATCAGTAACATCCTTGGCCAGTTAGAACATAACATCATGCACACTCCTTAAACTTCATAGTTCTGTACAACCTTTTAGTTAATTGGAAGGTATTGAGTGTGCTATTATGTAAGATTTGATTCTTAGTCATGCAAGCAGTCAAGGGAAGCAATGTTTTCAATAAAATACTTCATTTATGAGTTTCTTGAAATCAATGAGTTTTGAAGGGTTGCTGCCAGGTGTATTAGATCCTAACTATAAGGATTAGTTCATATGAGCAAAAATGGAAGCATTTAGAAAGACAAGGTCCTTGTCCTTGGGAATTTGCAATGTGGAAACCAGTATATTATGTAAATAATAATAAATTTTTACCAAACATAGTGGAAGTGTTTACATTTTCTTGTAAGTTTCTAAGTTTCAATAAAAAAGTCTTTATACAGACATCAGAAGACTGTCCAGAAGCCAGCCTTGGACAGCTGCCTTAGTTCATTGTTTGTTTTGTTGTTGTTGTTTTACTTTTTTATAATTTTGTTTTACTTTTTTATTTTTAGTTCTTTTTTTCTTTTATTGCCTGTTCTTTGAAAAGCAGAAGTGACTTAAGCAGATGTTTTCAATTGGCACGAATGAAAAATAAAATCTTCCTGTAAGTGGAAAGTAAATTCAGCTTTCCTTCTAGAACCTATGTGGAACTGACTTTAGACGTACTGAAAATTTTAACTTATTTGATTGTATTTTGTCTTTTAAAAAGTAGTCTAAGACTTCCCCTGTAATTTTAAGCGACTGACTGCAGTGGAGCTCCTTGTTTGGAGCTGATTGCTCTCAGGTTATTTTATTGAATGAATTTCAGGACTTGACTAAAACAAAAAGATGATGCTTAGCTAGCTTAGATTTTTCCCAAGAGCTTTCTGGCTTTTGTTGATGCCAGCAATGAACATAATGTTAAGGAAATGTTGTGGAACTTTTTTAAGCAGGGGAAGGAAGAGAGAATAATCAATTTCTTATTCTGATGCAATAGGAAAGCTGTACATTAGAACTTACAACTCAGTATGCTGTTTTCCAGATCATGTCTGCCTTTCATGACCAACTACAGTTTCCATTGCAATGTTTGCCATCACAGTGGGAACACGTATTTCTTAAGAAAACAAGCAAGTAAGTGTAAAAGCACACTCATTGAAACTTGGTGCAAAATAGTCCTAGAGGTTTCATTTCCTTTTTGTCTAAAGTCTGTGGGAGGGTCTGCTGAAGCTTTGCAAAAATGACAGAAGAAATGAGCAACAAACGTGCAGCTTTTTCTAAAAATGTATTGCCATTTTGCTACTAACTTCTTAAGAAGGCAAAAATATTCTTTTTAGTCCGGGCTTCTGATTTTAGAACAGAACTTGTATTAGTTTTAGCATCCATGCTATCTTGGATAATGGTATGTTTTTGGTATTCGGTGTATGTTCAGTGTGTACACACACGCTGTACAGTGTGTGTTCAGTGTGTGTGTCTGTGTGTGTGTGTGTGTGATCTTCCCCATGAAGAATGTAACCCGAGCTTTGGTATATTTTTGTTTTTAAGATCTCAAGGAAATGTGCCTTAGTGCTCTGGCCAACTTAACATGGCAGTCAAGGACACAAGATGAGCACCCAAAAACTATGTTCTCAAAAGATAAGGTATGGCTGTTTTGAAAATGGTCACGGATTAAAGTGAGTTCTGGTTTCACTAAGGAGCAAGATCATACAAATATTGGCAGTGTGACTTTTTAGTCACTAGCGCTTACAGATACATTAAAATGATGCAACAACTCAGTGTGAAAGGCCTAACGACTCAAGTTGCTTTGTATCTGATCGAACAGACTTTTTTTTTTTTTTTAAAACAGGATATTATCCCATTCATTGATAAATATTGGGAATGTATGACAACAAGACAGAGACCTGGAAAAATGACTTGGCCTAATAATATTGTCAAAACTATGGTAAGTAATTGGAGTTAAATTCAAGGAAGATTTTGCATGAACGATAGAGTTGTCTGACATTCTTATTTGCTGTTGTTTAGACTTAAAGCTAAATGGTGAAGATCTTATTGCCTCCTCCTGCAGCTACCTCCATAGTTGAAATACATAGTACATACTGTGTTTTAGCCACTTGTAAACGAACTTGATGTGACCTTCTCCTGTGTAACTTGAACTCCTCTGTTTCAGTGTAAAGAGAGAGATGTATTCTTGGTGAAGGAACATCCAGACCCAGGGAGTAAAGATCCAGAAGAAGATTACCCAAAGTTTGGACTTCTAGACCAAGTATGTAATTAGAAACGCAAGGAAAGCATACTGTGAGGATTTGGCAGGGAGGGTTCTTTTTGCGTTGTATTTTGGTGACTTTTGCTCTAGCGAATAAGCAAAAATTAACCAAGACTCAGAGCAAGGTTGTGATCTTGTGTTAAGCAATGTCTTGGAGCACTCCAGCACTTGGAAATCCTGAAAAGAGGAGGTGTTGTGTTTAGGCTTTGAGTGGTAAGTTTGGCTGAGTTTGTACATTTATTTGTTTGTTTATTTTTCAGGATCTTGCCAATATTGGTCCAGCATATGATAACCAGAAACAGAACAACGCTGTATCCACAAGTGGAAGCTTAAATGGCAAGTTCTTTAGTTAGTCTTTTTTTGAATATTTGGAACTAACCTGCATTTTCCCAGTCTTACACCTGGGCATCTATGTAGTTTCATCAGTTGAGGTCCTACAGTTAATAACCTCAGCTCACATAACAGATAGATTGACTTTACCTTATTGTAGATGTTCAGCTTTATTCTTCTGGGTGGCCAGCTTCATCATCAGATGCATGTAAGAAAGCTGAGCTCCTCCCTTTTCTTCCACAATGATTTTAATTTATGTACTTGCATTACTCAAATTTCCTCTTTTCCTCTCTCTGAGTTTTGAAAGTGATAAGGGAAAGTATATCTATTATACTTCCATAAAACCTCTGTTGGCATTTTGCTGTTATTCCTCTTTGTGAAATGACAGTTGTGATAAGAAGTTTGCCTAGCTCATTAAAATTATTTTACCAAGCTAGTAATGCTAACTATCGAACAGAATTCTTTGTGCACGAGGCTACCCCTTTTCTTATAAAGTACATATTGAATTAGTACCTAATAAGAGCTGTTTTGGTCTTTTTAAAATAAGATATAGATGTCTAAGGCTACACTGTCCATTTCATGTACTGATTGTTTTTCTTTAATTACTAAAAGTTTGGCAAATACATGGTGCCACTTCTGTTCCTACAGGTGGAGCCTCTTTGGGAGGTGAATATTTGCCTTTCAGCTTCTAAAACTTAAGTATTGTTGTGGTTTGGAAAGCTTTTTTGCTCAATTGTCTTAGAAGCTAAACTCAATTAAAAATCAAAAGTGTGTCCTGCTGTGATTGCAATACTTTAATACAAAACAGCAATTTCACTTTTTAAAGTTTAGCAATTAGAAGCTTTTGATTTATCATATTCTGCCTCACTTGACTGGCTTAAAGTTTTGTTCTCAGTTAAGTTTGTTTTTACTTTGTGGGATATGACCTGATATTATTGTAGTCTCAAAGCGGTTTTAAATTTTAATGCCTAAATAAGTGGTCTGATTCTATAAACTCCTATGATGTTCTGATTGATTAGATACATGAGTGGTGGCAAGCAGGAGAATCCAAATGTTTGTCTGTACTCAAACTAGCGAGTGCAGTTTAGATTGTCATGTTTGTGCAGAATATGGTATTCCTTCAGAGGTCTGAATCCCTTACACTGCCAGAGGAATGCTGATAATTTAAAGGTGTGCTATATTCTTAGTTACAACACAGTTCGCAGTTCATAAAGGTGTTTATCTACAGTACATTGCTCTATTGTATTCCTTGTAAATCATTAGTAGGCTTTTTGAAATTGTTTATGCATTCTATCATTATGCTATTTAATATGTTAAAAAATTAATACTGATACGAGTTTGATATAATTTGATAAGCAGTTTGTCCTATACTGTAGTTTATGAGTAAAAATTGGGCACTGGAATATGAAATGACTTGCTCTTTGTACTTTAAATCACAGTGGTAATTTGGTAATACTGAAGAGAAACACCTCTGTTGCTTTTCATTTTTACCCATCTCAGGAGTATTTTATTTTATAGATTGAATTTTAACGTTAAGTGCTTATTGCTAACGCAGGTATTGGTGTCAAAGCGCTTCTCCAGCATAGTGTGTGTCACTGGGATGACAACTTTGCTTAATATCAGAAAACGTATACTGTAGGTTGGGTTTTCTGCTACTTTTGCAAAAATAAATTTGAACTGTGAGACTGGAATCTCCATGAAAGCAAACGATAATGCTTTCAAACCAGATCCCAATGCTACTATTTGTAGATCTTCTGAGGAAAGAGAGAGAGAGGAGTCATAATTCGCATTCTAAAAGCTTGAGTTGAGCTAATTTCGTTGATAAATCTCACTGAACTTCTAAATTATAACACTTCAAAAGTTGCCTAGAAGCTGCAAATAAGTTCTAGGTTTTCCTATGCTTTCTATAAAGTGTTTGAAACACAAATATGTACACGAGCTAATGAACTGATTTAAATTTGGCTTCTTCTGCTCCTTTCTCTTTGTGGAGATTCCATGTTCACAGACGCTCTCTGATCATCAGTTGCTTAATAAGCAGTGATCTCTATTTTAAGGCGGAATTGCTGCAGGAGGCAGTGGGAAAGGAAGGGGAGCGAAACGCAAGCAGCAAGATGGTGGGACCACGGGAACAGCCAAGAAAACAAGAAGGTAACAGGAAAGAGCTGAAAAGACTGACATAGTGACACAGTAACGAGTATGAGCACCTCATACAATACAGTGTCTGATGTATTGGATGAGATGTATACAAATCTGTTGTATGCTAGTCAGAGGGGACAGCTGCAGTTCTAATGCCCTAAGACTCTTCCCATCTGTCTTTGCCCTTGGTAGATTTATGGGGAATCGTAACAGACAAGGATTATGGTATTTATTTAAAATAATTTCTAGCGTGTGACCTATAATCAAGTATGTGCTCATTTCACACTGACTCTTGAAAGCAAAGTGGTATGCAGGCCACGAGCGCTGTGGGTACATCTCTGTAGCAGGTTGTACTAGGTTGACTTTGGTGCAGAACTTACAAGAAGTCCCTGGGGAACAAAGTTTCACTGTACCATAGCTGCCATGAGATGCCAACCTGTTGTTTTTGTGTTTCACAGTGACCCGTTGTTTTCCGCTCAGCGCTTACCTCCTCATGGTTATCCTTTGGAACACCCCTTTAATAAAGATGGATATCGTTACATCTTGGCTGAGCCCGACCCCCATGCACCAGATCCAGAAAAATTGGAGCTAGACTGTTGGGCAGGAAAGCCTATTCCTGGAGACCTCTACAGAGCCTGCCTATATGAACGGGTCCTCCTAGCACTGCATGACCGAGGTACAAAGCTTGCTAATCGTATGCAAGTTGGATAGACAGCCCTTCTTATCAGGGGGTCATCTACTGCAACCTCGCTTTACCAGTTATTGAAGTTTCAAACAGCATTACTTTAAGAGGTGCAAACGTTAAATCCACTTCTGTGTGTTCAAATGCCTTTTTACATGACTGCACGGTAAAAATCACAAACACACTGCTAATATCCTCTTCTCTCCTCTCCTACAGCTCCTCAGTTAAAGATTTCTGATGACAGACTGACTGTTATAGGTGAGAAGGGCTATTCAATGGTACGAGCCTCCCATGGAGTGCGGAAAGGAGCATGGTACTTTGAAATATCCATGGATGAGATGCCTCCAGACACAGCTGCCAGATTAGGCTGGTCACAGCCACTAGGTAAATATATTTCTTTCCCAAATATCCATTAGGAGGCATTGGATTCCTGACTGGTTCCTACTGTCCCTCCCCCACCCCTTTCTTTTCTCCTGTAATGTATGGCTTGCTCATTTTTTCACTCCTTTACAGCACCTGCAGGAAGTTTACCTTGGGGAAAACTTACAGATCTGCAGTACTGGTGGATCCTTTATGCTGTTGCATGCTTGGCCTTGCTTAGCGCTTTAATCAAGGTCTTTGTGCTAATGGCAGTAGTATTTCTAAACTATATTTTGTTCCAAAACTTGAACTGGGCCCTACAGAAATGTTTAATGTTTAGAGATGCTCCTGTTTGTTATACTGTGGCACATTCATGAAGAAACATTGGTTTTTCACAGGGAACCTCCAGGCGCCTCTGGGATATGACAAGTTCAGTTACTCCTGGCGCAGCAAAAAGGGAACAAAGTTTCATCAGTCAATAGGGAAACACTATTCAGCTGGCTACGGACAGGGTGATATACTGGGATTTTACATCAGTCTTCCTGAAGACACTGAGACTGCTAAATCATTGCCTGATACTTACAAAGATAAGGTGAGATGTGCAGTTCAATAACTGGTTAAGTGTTAGCTGTCTTGTCTAGTGGAAAATAAGATTGCCCTAGCCTTATTCTTGCCTGCTGAGTGCAGCATACCACTGGATACTATTGCGGTATGCAGTGGAGAGGTACCGAGCATTGCTCTCAAGAAAACAAAATATCCCCCACTCAGCGATTCTGTAGGGGAAGAGTGCAGGGACTACTGAGTGAGATTATCCAGCTCTTGTTTCATCTTCTAGTTCCCATTGGAGATGTGCAACTCGCTCCTCACGAGCACTGACGCAGCAGGCATGCCTTTCCCCGAGCAGGGTGCCCATGTTTGCCATTCTTTCTTATGTCACTAAAGGTAACAGTTTTTTTTCAGACTATTTCTGAAGTGGTCGTTTCCTAACGTTTCAGGCTTTGATCAAATTCAAAAGCTACTTGTACTTTGAGGAAAAAGATTTTGTGGACAAAGCAGAGAAGAGCCTAAAGCAAGCACCTGGAAGCCAAGTAAGTTAAGCGATGGGAGGCAGCAGAGGAGGATGACCAAAAAAAAATTGAAATGGTCTTACAAAAATTGTAGTAAATCTGTGCAAGCAAAGGGTGCGGTTCCGTTAGTAGTTCTTGTTGTCATTGAAATACTTTAAAAATGTCTGGCATGTTTGGGGGGGAGGGGCTGTGATTATCTTCTGGGCATGTTTATAAGCGCCATATTAAAGCTAACGGTGACCTCACCTGTTAATTACAACTGATCATTAGTGGCAAAAATTTTATTTTACTTTTCAGATAGTCTTCTTCAAAAATGGTACCAGTCAAGGTGTTGCCTTTAAAGACATTTTTGAAGGAGTTTATTTTCCTGCTATTTCTTTATACAAAGGCTGCACGGTATGTAACATACTAAAACTACACTTGGACTTAGGAATTACCTTTGCAAGGAGTGCATAGGCTATGGGTGCTCTGGGATTGCCTCAAGCAAACCTGGTTAAGTGCATAAAGAGGCAAGTCGAGTCTTTTAGCAAAATGAGTCTAAACAATATGATTGGTCACCTGTGTGAACTTTATTAAACCACTGAAGGAATGCTGGCCTTACATGGAAAGGCTGTTTATTCATATGTTCTTGCACTAGGTGCAGTTAGGCTCAGGGATGTGAGGGGATGGGGGAAAAACAGAAGAATAATTAATTTTTCCCTGCGTGCTCTAGCTAATGCCAAGTATGTCTTTCATAGGTTTCTATAAACTTTGGACCATATTTCAAGTATCCTCCCAGAGACATCACTTACCGTCCGGTAAGTAAGAACACGAGTTTGCTTTCTCCCCTCCTTGCGATAGCCTCATGGCTTTTAAATGCAAGGTGCTTGAGATCTGATTTATACAAAACCTGTTTCTGCCCTTTTTTTTTTGAGCTGGACAATGTAGCCATTTTATATAGAAGGAAGGAATGTATTTAAAAGCATGAGAATGTGAAGGACAGCTTTTAAACAATAAGTACCAAGTAGCCTTGTGTCAGCATAGAAATTAGACCTAACTATTACTGTTGTTCAGACCCATGAAAACTTTGAACTGGCACAGCAGGGCTGAGTGCTTGTTTAAGGAAACACGCCCCCTCCCCCTCCCCCCCCATGTTTTTAGAAGGGAAGGACTCGTAGGAAGTTGTATCACTGCACAGCAGCTGGGCTAGCGTTACCTGTGTAGCAAACAACATTGAAATTTCAGATAGCCTGTTTAACAATTTTTTTCCCCCAATGCTGAATTTCTCATGACTCCAGCTAACTTTTGTTTTCTCCCATTGCAGATGAGTGACATGGGATGGGGTGCTGTTGTAGAACACACACTGGCAGATGTACTGTATCACGTAGAGACAGAAGTTGATGGAAGACGCAGCCCACCCTGGGAGCCTTAAAGAGAAGTAGCAAAATGACACAGTGGACATCAAATCAAGTGGTTTTTATTTTAGAGGAATGTGCATCACTTGGAACAATCTGTTGAAGAACAACGTGATGAAGCTAAAGCAGCTCTTCTTGATAGCAGGTGTTTAGTGCACTCAGAGGTGTTATGTATACGTATTACCTGCTGAAGATTCATGCTCTACCACTGTGCTGGAGTCAAGTGAATGCAGTTCTAGTATGTATTGTGCTATTTGTGGGCATCTCTTGGAGTCTTCAGCTAGCTGTAACTAAGTTACTGAAGAAGCAACTGTTCGTGTTGAGATAACTTCTCATTTGGTGTACCCAGGTTGTGAAAGTCATTTGTTCAGTGAGAGCAGGCTGCAGCTGGACCCACCTGCTTTATAGTACACTTGCAGAAGCAACACTGACACTTCTGCTCAACTGTGCTTGGCTAATTGTAAACAGCTTCCATCCAGAAGGATTGTGTTGTAGCAAGACTACTGCATGTAAGACTGAGGTTTGGGCAGAAGCCTAGAACTGTTTTTGTTTGTTTTTTTTTTAAACACACAAAACTGGAAACCAGTTTTAAATAAAGCTTTTCTTTAAACCTGATACAGTTTTGTGATTTGTTTACAGGTCTACAAACTACACTTTAGCTAAAGGGAATTTTAAAGCCTCAGAGTTATTGTTTAAAAGTGGCTACTGCTTTTCTAACCACTACATACAAGCAATGGGCAGGAGACCCTGTAAAACTTGATCACCATTGAAGAGCTTGAATAAATATTAAATACAATTAAGCAAATCTGTACAAGAAATAATTTAGAGCTGCTCTACTGGTGGGGATGGGAGTAAAATTTAGGTAAGTCCTGCGTTTGTGCACTGAGCATGTGCTGGCTCCTGCTACTACATCAGGCTCCTGAGGCCTCCCCCTCAATGATGGTTAAGAAATGTCTTTTATTCCAGCCTGTGAAAGCAGGCCTTAGCAATTACATTACTAATAGTCATGTCTGACAACCTAATTACAGAAGCCCTATTTTACCACTGAACAAAGCATTAAACATTTAGTCTGGAATATGCCGCTCAGAGGTTGGTGCAGTCAGCAGTTTATGACAGTCTGGGCCAGGCGCTCACGAAGATGATTGGCAAAGTCTACCTGGGTCTGGGAGAGTACCTGGTTGATTATTGTCTTTGGCAGCCATCCCTAGAGGAACAAAAGAGAGAGGCAAATTTCCATCTGATTAACCTGAAAATTAATTCTGGAAAGAAACAAGGGCAATAGTTAGTCATAGTTCACCGCTGAACTTACCTTTAGGTCAATACTGAGTAGCCACGTCAATTTGGTTTGTGAAGGATTTCCAGGAAGTGGACGCAGGATCATGCACGTGGGACCATTCTCAGCTCCACAAAGGGACAGAAGTGTGTGTGTGTGTTGAGAACAACAATGTCTGACTTTGTGCCTGAAGGCCCAAGTTTCAATAGCAGAATTAGTGCTCCCCTAGCAATTTGCATCACTCTAAGTTACTTTATACTCCAAACTATCAAATTTACAGACTCGCTTTTAGGAAATCAAACATCCCTATACACAAACTCTTGCCTCCTGAGAGAAAGCCAAAGTAAGTGCAAAAAGAGGTCTTACCTTATAAATCCTTTTTGTTCTGGCATCGCTCCATATGTTGTTGACATCCCAGCCAGGACACAGGTAGAACCACGTCTCTTAGAACATCGCACGCTGACAAAGTCCCGTGGTCCAACAATGTTACCTGGCGTAGCAGCTGCTTTCTCATGGGTGATCACTGTGTCTTTTCCAATCTTCTGGAGAATCTGGAAAGTTACATCAACTTTGAGCTATTTATCACAATGAATGGCTACAGTTATCCAAAAGTAACAGCTTCCATTTTACTGTGATTGCTGCATGTCCTAGCATACGTTCCAATACATGCGCTTACTGTATGTAATAACTAACTCACACTACAATTTTTCTTAACATAAGCAATGTCTGTTTCACCCTAGAATACAGTATCTCTAATACCTGAAGAAAAAATGTATTTCTCTTAACGCTTCCCTTGCTTCAAGAACAAGCTGTGCAATAATAGCAAGATGCTCTCCCCTGCATGCCGGGAGACTGCTATTTCTTTTCCAATAATAGTACAAACTTAACAACAGAGCTGGACTGTTACTTTGCAGTGAAACACACGTGCGTTTCTCTATAGAGAAAGTAACACACAATCCTCCAGCTGCTAAAGACATTCACTTCTGCTGACAGAGCAACGTGATTACTGCAAAACGAGCTTTATATCAGCATAAAAAATGGCCAAGATAGATAAAAGTCTGGCTTATTCATTTCTAAAGGAATGGAATGGATGGAGAAATCTCTGTACCCTGTTGTGATCGGCAAAGTCGTTCTTTGGCCCATGTTAAAGCTACGTTGAGCAACGTATGCATTTGAATCTATGGCTGAGTCAGGTCAAAAAGGAGTTCAGCGAGTATGTGCAGGCATGCATCTCCCACCTTGATTTCTTTGATGTTGGGGTTCCAGTCTCCCATCTGCTCCATCTTGTCCACCAGCTCGCTGTACACTGTGTCCAGGGGCTGGTCCACTACCACCTCGAGGCGAAACACCTTCCCCACGTCTGGGAGCACCTTGCTCAGCACTTTGTCTCCATTATCCTACAGGAGGGGAAGGCAGAATTAGTACCACAGTTGTTTACAGGAGGACATCTTCTTCTGCCTGCTGCAAGCAGAGAACCTACCACCACCGTCTCTGTCTTCCAGCCATCCTGGTCGCCAAGGATGCTGAGTGATTTCTGAAGGGCTTCTTCTCCTTGCTTGATATAAGACATTTCCATCTCGCTGAAGGGCTTCTCCTCCAGCCTGGAGCCTGAAAGGGTTTGGACAAAAGGGAGAGTGAGTTTAGGAACAATGCATAACTGACTGACTCATCATAATAGCAGATAAGCCTTATCTAAATCAAATAACCTTTGCAGTGCGCAGGGGTCTCTGGAAGTAAGCTCAATTCGCATTGCTTGCCTGCATTTGCCTTTTGTTTAGCAAAAGCATGGGCTACGCATCAGCAGGTTTTTGTCTAACCACAGTCTCCCGAGCACCGATCCGTAACTGTCAGCACCCGACAGAAAGGGGCAGGATCCCTGTCTGTTTGTTACTTACTGAGCAAGGAGCTCCTTCTGCGAACTTGGTTAATCCACGTATTGGGACCCGTGCTGCGGCAGGCTAGCTTACTCAGCTCCTGGCTGATGGCAACAGCAGCTTGTCTCCTCAGACCTGAGAGGAGAGAGCACGTCATTGAACAGAACTAAACATTGCACTGCAGAGGATTTGTCATAGTTTGCATTTTTTTCCTTAATACACAAAAATAAAAACTCCTTGCTTGCCACCTTTCGCCTGCTAATATAGCTGAAGCCCCTACAACACACATACACAAAGTTTATTGCCATTGAATTACTATAGAACAGAAGCTGCTCTGTAAAACTCGCGTTTTACTCCAAGTCCAGGCTACGCAGCACATGGGGAGCAGAAGGCAGTCTTATAAACGCCAAGGGGCATCATCCTTCTCCGTCTCTGCACGAGGCACGAGAAGGTGCTCAGGAAAGGCCATAGGAAATGGAATACAATAATATAAAATCCTAACAGCCAGAGAAGATATTATTCCAAGGCTGTTCCTCCCAGGGCTCCAAACAGGAAGCGTAGCTCAGCCTTACAGAGCGAGGTGCCTTTGTAGCACCCTCCAAGATGCTGCCCTGTCCCACTCTCGAAGGACAGAGACATGCTCTGTGCTCAGAAACGGCATAAAACCTTCCCCTTTGACCCCAGGAACGCGTCTGGCAGCGAAAAGGAGTCACAGAGACTTCAACAGACGAAACCCAGGGACGAACGCGGCATCGGTCCTGGAAAGCGTCCCAAGAGACCGCAGCCCCGTCAGGCTCGCGCCGGACGT